ATACAACTTCGTTTTGACAGAATTTTTGACGAAAAAAACAAGAAAATGTTACATTGGCAAAGTTTTAGAGTCCCTTGAAAACAATAATTATTAAGTCAAGTTAAAAAACTCGATTTTCAAGAACATCGCGTTTTCCCATATATAGAGGATCTTTCGTTAATTACAAGTGAACAAATTGTAAGCATCCTCGAAAAGCCAATAGAAAAAATATAGAAAACAATTATTCATAAGTTAAATATTTGTATGTCTAAGTAATGCCAAAGCTATATAGTTTAATTTTGAAGCTTTGTTTTCACTTAATATTGTTCCTATTTAAATTCAGAGTTTTCTTTAGTTTCTATTCTTACCACCCTTAAAAGTTTAAAACTTTCTGCATAATTTTTCTTGTAGCCGAATATATATATTTTTTTGCATCTGACTATTATTTCTAATTGATTGCATTTTACAGACTAAAATAACATGCATGTATTTGGATAAAACCGTTGGCATGTATTCATTCCGTACATGTATATGGCACCTAGCACAATCCCATTGGTCAGATTTAAAATTTAAACCAATTAAACTTCGAGTGCCATACGCGCGTACGGAATGTAAATCAGTGCCATATGCACTTACGGAATGTCATACCTAGTTATTGCAGCAGAAAATTTTGTTAAGCTGAAAACGAGTTAAGCGTCAATTATTCTTCAACTATAGGTACCTATCTATTTTACATTACATTACAAACATGCGGTGTATCAATCTAAGTTTCGGTGAGCAACGAAAATATACATAGTATCAGAGCGAAAGCGGAAAGCGTCAATATGTTTATTGAATAATATAACAAAACAAGAAAGCTTTATGCAAAATCAGTGAACTAGATGTGCCAAAGTCTCTATTTTTAAAAAGCATTAGATCAACAACATTCTAAAAGTTGATGGTCATGGTGAATTTGTTAAAGATTTGTTAAAGATACAAATTCTTCCACCCATCTTCTTCTAGCGTCAGAAATTAGGTTTGCTTCATTTTTTTTTTTCAGGATTCAAAATATTCATAATTCAAAGGTAGCAACGTTTGCGCAGCATGCATGGCGACTTCAAACACCGAAATAACTACAAGAGATCTGATTAAAATAATGTCGGCGAAGCAATAACTGCCAATTTCTTATTCGAAACATTTTTGAGAAAATCGATCGAAAGATAGGACGCAACGCCGAACTTACTTCTATGACCTACCTATGTAAGCCCAACAATCACAAAAATAAAACAGGAAATTTGGCCGCTGGAGACGTGATTTTGCCTGCGCATAACGCATAACTAGGAATATTACAATCCGTAAGTGCATATGGCACTGATTTACATTCCGTACGCGCGTATGGTACTCGAAGTTTAATTGGTTAAAAATTTAAATCTGACCAATAGGATTGTGCTAGGTGCCATATACATTTACGGAATGAATAAATGCAAACTGTTGTTGATTGCACTTTACCGGATTTACAGGAAAAGTGCAATCAATGATCAGAACGAATTTAAAAAAAAAAAACTCATTTCAAATATGGCATATTCCTAATTTCTATATCATAATTCAAAGACCATCAGGTGGTAGGTGTATAGTCTGTGCCACAGATAATCGAGATTCCTACAAAAAATTATGTTTATATTATCAGCCGGCCTGCATTTAGTCAGGGAGCACGTATCAGGAGCCACTTGAATACAAGATTATATTTGTTTGAAATTATTCGGTTCAAATTGTTGTAAATAATGTTTAAAATTATTTTTCAATTTTCTCAAAATATCTTTCAAAGATTTAATGCAAGAAATTAAGTACTTTAATCGAATCCAGAACATAGCTCTTGGTCTAAATTTATTCTTAACCCTTATCTGTAGAGTTTTTGCTGCGATTTTTTTTATCGGGGCATCGCCGACAAAGAAATTATTTTTTGTAGGAATCTCAAATATCGGTGGCGGCCACTATACACAAAAAATGTTACACCCTTCTGCGAGTTTTAATTAAATATTTCCACGCCATAATAGGTATCGAAACTATACAAAAAAGTGACAGCGCTTGCCCCACTTGACCTTAATAAAAAAACCCTGGTTTACCAGAGGACTTAAGGTGTCCTCTAACAATCTTCAAAATATTCAGTATATTAGAAAATTCACACTTTCACACCTATTTCAATAACTACCAGTCAATCTACAAAAAACTTATAAAGCTAGTCAAAGATTTAAATAACTCCAAGCTTCTTGCAAATGCATCCAACAAACAAAGGGAAAGTAGTTCGATTATAAACGATATTCGTAAGAAAGGTAATTATTCCCCAAGCATCAACATGTCTCCTGACAGTCAAAAAATTTTACTGTCCTATGGTAGGAAACCTGACCAAGCATAATATTCAACACACTGATCCACTTAGTTTTCTTTCAAATAATGCAGGGATCAATAATTCCTTTTACTTTCTTCCTACTATCCTGGAAGAGTTCAAACAGATCATATCAGTTATCAAAAATAAAAAAAGCTCTGGGGATGATGGTATGTCTATAAAATTGTCTGCAAATTGGCCTGAAAAAGTTTTGGATCAATCAATTTATCTTGGGAGTCTGGTGTTCTTTCTTCATACCTTAAGCTGGTAAAAGTAATTGCATTTCACAAGAGCGGAGATTTGGGAGATCCCGGTAATTATAGGCCCATATCACTACTTTCTAATATATCCAAAATTGTAGAAAAGCTGGTTTCTGAATGCAAACAATGTTCTAAGTTTGTCTTCAATTTGGCTTCCGAGAACATTGCAACAGCTTTCTGCGATTTATCAAAAAGCATTTGAATGCGTCAACCACCACATCCTGTTACAGAAGCTCTCTCATTATGGCTTTAGAGGAATGACACTCTCATGGTTTCAATCCTATTTGTCTGATCGTCATCAGAAGGTTTACATTGGATCGTCTCAATCGGTGGTTTTGGAAAATAATTGAGGTGTACCTCAGGAGTCGGTATTGGGACCACTCTTATTTCTAATTTTCATAGATGTCCTTGCATCACTTAATATTACCGGAAAATTTACTTTGCAGACGACACCACAATTCTATGGGACTGTGCTGATAATCAGAGTCTAAAACAAGCTATTCTCACAGATCTTCAGCAGTTCAATTCTTGGTGTGATCCTAATCTTCTGGTGTTGAACTTAATTAAAACAACTATTTTGACATTTAGATGCGATCTAGAACTCGCCAACGTCCCCAATATTTCTATCGAATGTCGACCTGAGACTTATTTCTGGGACTTATTATTGAATTTAGTTTCGAATCTCACATTGTCAGTCTTTCAAAGAAAATATCTGGGTGTTTTGCAGTCAGAATTGAAGTTGGACGTTGCTTGTCCAGATCGGTCTATTTTTCCTTGATTGAGTCAAGGGAAAAATATGGTATCTGATTTTGGAGGTTCTCTTCCCAGAATATGTTGGACTCTGTTTTTATATTACAGAAGCGGGCTCTTAGGTACATCTGTGGTGCTAACAATAGAGATCACTGCAGTCCTTTATTTGAGAAAGAAAAAATCCTAACTTTATACAGTCTGTTTATTCTAGAAACAGTCACACTGGCCTACAACAATCGACACAGATTTGTGTTCCATAATACTATCTATTCGACCCGCAATGCATCCAACTTTAATATTACCCATACCGCACTCCACACTGGTAAAAAAATCTGTTATATATGAAAGCATTAAGATTTACAACCATCTGCCAAGGATTTGACAACCATGTTCTTCCTGAGACATTTTAGAAGCGAATTTAAAATGTTGCTGGTTGGGTGTGGTTTATTATAGTTTGAACGAATTTTATTGTGATTGTTTTTAGTTTAGGATTTTGTTCTCGTTATTGATTTTTTGTTGTTTTCCATTGCGATTTTATAGTTAGAATTTTTTGATAGTATACTAGGATTTCGACTAGGATATATAGGGTGGGCTCAAAAAAAACGGAATTTTGTTTTTGAGTTGTAACTTTTTCTGATGTTGACCAATTTCTTTTTGTTTTGGCTTGTTTGGAAGAGAATTAAACATACTAACGAATCAAGGTGAAACTTTTGAAATTTAAGAAAAATTCGAAATGGCGGACTTCAAAAAATATCTAATTTTGGATATGAAAAGGTGATATTCGATATTACAAAAATTTCAATATTTCATTTAGTTTTCAACCGATTTCTCCTGTCGAGGCCTTAAAATGTTCTCGAAATGATGAACTTTAAGAATTTATCAGAAAAAGTTATACAGGAGGTCACAAACAAGTTCCAGCGCTATTCAAAGTTAGGTAATTTATGAAGAAGTCCGCCATTTTGAATTTTTCTCAAATGTCAAAAGTTTCACTTTGCATCGTTAGCCTGTTCAATTTTCTTTCAAACAAGCCAAAACAAAAGGAAATTGCGCAACAACAAAAAAAGTTACAGTTCAAAAACAAAATTCAGGTTTTTTTGAGCCCACCCTATATTATTTATAATGACTTTATTTTTAAGAATATTTTCAGTGCTTTGTCACTGAGAACTTCATGTACTTTGGAAAATAAGGCTTTTTTGAATTTGAATTTGAATATCACTAATGGCTTTTCCTATTGGTAGATTTAGTGCGCACCGAGTGTATTTGCATCCTTTCAATCGACCTGTAGAAGAAAAAGACAGAAATAGAAAAAACTGCACTAGTTCCGCACTAGATCTACCAATCGGAAACGCCATAAGTACTTTAGGGCAGAACTAGAATAAAATACGAAAATAAAAAAATTATTGCTAAACGCTAAATCCAAAAGTTCTAGAATATGAATATTTAGGTACATAGATACGAAAATATCCCAATGATAAAAATAGTGCAGTGATAATTTCTTAGAGGATTTTCTTGGAATCCCCACTGATTGTTCCTACAGGAACGCCAGTGTGTCTCCCGCACGCGGATCTGCGCGCGTTCTTTTTTACGCTACACCCGATTCATTGATCAACGTTGTTCCCGATTCCCTCCCGAACTCTACATGTACAGTCGGCGCGCATGCAGAATGCCGCGTCAGGGAACCAGCGTCGGGAATATGATGAGAACGCTTCGCGCGAGAGACTGAAAAGAAATAAATAATTAATTGGGTGATCGCGCGAGTGGTACTAAATCGGGGTTAAGGATCGGGTTATTCTTTCACGTCCAGTTTGGTTCTGAATGAGTCTGGAACGGGTTTGACCAGCAGTGCGCCAGGATAACTAGAAACAGGTAGGTCACCCCCTCTCATTGATAAATCGTTTTTTTACAAGTCACTATCAAGGACGAACTGATTAGTGCAATAATAATAATTATCATGGAAGACACTTCAACAATACTAAAATAGATTGTTGGCTTGCATAGTGATCCAGAATATTTCAATAAAATTAATTCCGAAATTTGGGTCATCCCGCTAGATTTTGTGGACGTTTGGTTAATATGAATTATTTAGGCATATATAGAAAGGAATATTTTAGAGGCAAGCCAATTGTTCAACTATTACCTATACATAAAGACATAATACCTATACTCCTTCAGCATTATCTTAAAGCTATAATTATCAATAAAGGTACATTATTAATCTTCTATAACCTTCTTTATGTTCTGAGGCTACTGCAATTAATATTCGACAAGTTAATGAAGTTCATCTAGAATATTGATTTGTTCCCTAAATTTCCACTATCGAAAAAATAGAAGATACCTACTTACTCGAATTAGCAGTGAATAAATATTGCCAGAGTCCGCAAAGGACGTCTAGAAGAAGTTACCACGGAAGTACATCAGAAGAGCAAAATATTACAAAACATTATTTCCAAATATTTTCTGATGATGATTTTTTTCGTAATTATAGTGTATAAGCAAAAAGTAGGTATTATAAACCCGTAGGTATAATCTATTTATTATTTATTGAAATTTTCAAATTATGTACTTATTTAACCAAAAAGAAAAATACGTGAACATTACACAGATAAAGTTAATGGTGTGTGTATAGCAACAACTAAATCGATTTTCAATTTTGAACGATTAGGCATGGTATCAATAGATTGATTGGTGTAGAAAAATTTAATTATGTAATTGATTGTTGAAAACGAGTGTAAATTAAAGATAGTTTATTCAAGACAAGAAATATTGTTTATTTAACAAAATTATTATTATAGTAATAGACAATAAAAAAATACTCGAGAGCGTGTTTTTGTCGTGTTGACCAACTGCTTCGCGTAACGCAACTACCTGTGCCCAGCAAGAAAGGGTCCGCTGTCCCTTGTTCTTCAAAACATCCCTGTCTGTGAAACGTGCTGGCGCATAAATTATACAGGGAGTCTGAGCTGCATCTTTATATTGGTGGATGCAGTTCGGTTACAGTTGGCCTACGTGATAACACTTCACGACCCCGTGAAGTTGGACTCAACTAAAAAAAAAGCAAAAATCAAAATTAGTTAAAATACACTAGAATTGAAGCCAGAGACGAAACACATTATTCGTTTACTGGGTTATCGTCACTAATGTCATCATCAGTAACTGTCGTAACATAAAGTTTCTAGGTTCAGGCTTTCTACTCCTTCCCCCATTGGAGAACTCGCCTGCCTGAACCAACACTTGTTGGCCAACTACGTATTTCTTAACTGGGGCATGCCTCTTATCGTAATACTCTTTCTGATTTTTTTGCCGTTTTCGAGTAACCTCAACCACCTCTTTACGCATTGCATCAAGGTCTTGCCGTTCTTCGCATGCGACTTCTGAAGCAAGGAAAGAGTCATTAACGCCACGTGGGCGGTAACCAAAGAAAATCTCGTAAGGCGATTTTTCAGTTGTGGAATTAACCGTTTGATTAATTCCCCACCTAACTTCACTCATGGCGTCGTCCCATCAGAATTGAGCGATTCATCCTCTCCACTTGCCCATTAGCTCTAAGTGTAGCGGTCGCACAAAGAACACTTTCAATACCTAACGAAAAATCCGTAAAACTTTTGCTTGTGAACGCTGTTCCACGATCGCAAATCAATCTTCTTGGAGCTCCAAACATGTCAATGATGTATTCGAGGAAACGTAACACTGGTAATGTTTTTGTATTTGCTACTGCTTTCAGGAATACGAATTTGGTAAATGCATCTACCACAACTATCAAATATGCATTTTTCCTAACGCTTGTAACAAACGGTCCAACGTGATCGATGTGTAGTGTGTCCATGGGCATGTTTACCTGATTATTATATAAACACCTTCATTTATGGAAACGAATAATGTCCACTCATAACTTCCAACGTTTTGTCCATTGCAAAGTGACCAGCTCCCAGCTCCATCATGGTAATATGTAGCGATAGTTCGCCTTGATGATTTCGGTACTACCCATTTCCGTCCACCATTTGTAATTCTGAATAGGCGTTTATCTTGTAGGCAATAATTCTTACAATCCTATCCTATCATCTGACGCAGACGGTTTTCGTGATAGCGCCTCTATTAGGTAGCGACAATGTTCATCTTGGAGTTGTGCAGACAACACCCAATCCTCCTCGGATACATTAACATTCATAACGTCAATGTTTTGGATTGGACCTCTGCTTGGAGCATCCACATGCGCCATTTTGGTTCCTGGGCGGTATTCGATGTCAAAATCGAACTTCTGCATGGAAAGCCACCATCTAGCAATACGTGGGACTAAATCTCTTTCCGTTAATATGTGGCGGAGTCTGTAATAACTTTAAATTTACTCCCTGTTAGGTGAATTCTGAACTTCTTGAGGGCCTCCACTAATGTCAACGTTTCCAGCTCATAGGAATGATACTTCTATTCGGCTTGAGTAGTGGCTCGGCTGAAGTATTGAATGGGTTTCGGATTATTATCGCTTTGTTATTTAAATAGTATTGCTCCGAATCCTATTTTGCTAGCGTCACAGTGGAATTCAGTTTCAGCCTCCCTGTTGTATATTGCATTGCCTTTATGGGTCTCTCTACAAGCTTTTTCTTTAAATCCTCAAAAGCTATTTTCTGTTACATATTCCAGGCAAAAACGGAGTTTTTCTTAGTAAGTGAAGAAATTGGTCTGGCAATGAAGGCTAATCCGTTTAGAAATTTTCTGATGTTGAGTTAATAGCTAGTCCCAAAAATCTTCTAACATCATGAACTTTATTGGGTATTCAGCCACGGCTTCAACAAGGACGTATACCGATATTAGATACTTCATGTCCTAAATATTCTATGTTCTCTTGAAGGAAATAGCACGTATTTAACCTAAGTATAAAACCGGCTTCTTTGAAGATATTTAGTATCTGTTTCAGGTTTTGAAATCCATCTGGTAGGTAATGATATAGACGGTATTAAGACGTCGTCCAAATATGCCATAGCTGTTTCAAATCGCAAAGAGCCCAATACTTGGTTTATTGTTCCCTGAAAAACCGCAGGAGCATTTACAAGTCCAAATGGCATTCGCAGGAACTCGTAGTGTCCATCTGGTGTATCCAGATGCTAGGTATAGGGTCGTAAAATAGATGTGACCTTTGAGAGAGTCCAGGAGGTCATCGATCCTTGGCAATGGGTATTTATCTTTCAGCGTTTTACGATTTGAGACTCTATAATCTATGCACATGCGCGGCTCACCATTCTTCTTTTCCACCAATAGGACGGGATTTACATAAGGTGAAGATAAGTCATGGATAATATCATTTTTCATGAGGTCATGAACTATTCCTTTTACGACTTCCCTCTCAGAAAATGCCATGTCATAAGGGCAATATGTAATGGGAATATCATCAGTTAGCGATATCGCCATTTCTGTGGATTTTGTTTTTCCAATCTCGTCTACATTTGTATCACGGTTTTCATTAAGAAGGATAACTGTTTAAAATCGGTACTATTGAGCTTGGGATTGGTTTGCTTTTGAATATCTAGAGTCGTAAATTTTTTGAATTTCGTGACTTCAGTAACAGTTGTTAATATAGGAAAAAAAAAGATTATTCAGCGACGAAACTCCGATGGAATAAGGCGTCCAGTTAATGAATGTTATACTACCTTATAAACGGAGTGAATCTTGAGTATGGAACGTCTCAATTATCTCGAAAACGGCTTCCACGATTTTTATGAATTTTGGTTTAAAGGAGTATAATATGGTAGTATTTACATGGTTGTCAGATCTTTCGTTGTTCGGAAAATATCAGAAACTTTGTATTTTCAAATAGATCACCCTCTTCTATATTATGACATTTCTGGGTTCTACGGAAAATTCTGGACATATTTCATGCACAATGTTATGTACCTATCTTCAATTGTTTCAGAAATATTGACAGTTGAAAATAGACTTTTTTTGCAACTTTCACAGACTGAAATTCTAAACGGTTGATTCTACAGCAAAACCGATCATATAATAATTCTTATCTTGGTTTTTCATAAACTATATACCAACTTTGAATTCAATCCATGAATGAAAAGTCCGGTTAAATTTAATCTCCGGTGAATGAAAATTATCCGTTCAGGTTTTACAGCCTGTCAAAGTTGCGCAAAAAAAGTCAATCTTCAACTGTCCGAAATAAAAATTGAACAAGGAAATGTTCTAATGTACAGGGTGATCCATTTAAAAAAACAAAGTTTCAGATATTTCCCGAGAAGCGAAACATCTGGCAACCATGTAAATACTGCCATATTAATGGCCATATTACAATACTCTTTCAAACTAAAATTCATAAAAATCATGCAGGCCGTTTCCGAAATAATTGAGACGTTCCAAACTTAAAACTCACTCTGTATGCTAAGTGAGATACGCTTTTCTGATTCGTATTTCAACAAGAGAATGACGCGAAGCACACATCTCGTCCTCTTCAGGAGTGATTTCAGGAGAACAAAGTCCAACTCCTACAGTAGCCAGCAAAATCACCGGATCTTAACCCTCGTGAAAACCTGTGGGAGATGTTGAGCGTCAAATTCATGCCACGACATTTCCAAACAGTTTTTAATTGATAAACTCAACCCGGCTTAAACCAATATGCAATATGCCGAAATGTTATTATTCAAAATGTTTGTTGAGATTTTGGGTTATGGGAAAGGAGACAAAGACCAACTATTCTCTGGCGACGTTTCATATATTCAATTTATACTTTATCAAGCCTCAAATATACTTGATTGATAAAGTATAAATTGAATATACGAAACGTCGCCAGAGAATAGTTGGTCTTTGTCTCCTTTATTCCCATAACCCAAAATCTCAACAAATATATTGAACCAGGGAAATGAAATATCTGTTAT